CCTCCCCGATCCATCCCCCCATCCATCCCACAGCGCAGTATTCATGGAGCCTAATCGGCGCCTGGCATTGTTTTAGATATTGGAGCTGCAACAGTATTCACAGCGGATAGAAATGCTAACCTCATGGAGCTTCACAGAGGCTCTTTCCATCTTCAGCTGCATTACCTTGTTCCTAAACGCTCCCCTTTGTTTACAGCTTTTCGACTTGCCATTTAAACTTTTGGATTCCATAACATCTGTGGATTTCACACACACACACACACACACACACACACACACACACACACACTCAGTAGTCACTGTTATGTGAAATAACTACAGATAAAGTACTCTAAATTAATATGACACATTTTGGATAGCCTGGTAAACCATCCTGACGTTCAACAAACAGTACTGAAAACAGACTTTTCCAGACCCAATACCAGGCACAGAATATACAAGATTTAAACACCCACATACACAATTCCTACCCCTAAGAAGCTCTTGTTTTCCAGGTTATCCGCCAGCTCTCTATTCCTGCTATTGTATTTTTTTTTCTTAATCCCAAAAGCTATTTCCTATTTTTGATTGAGGGATTATATGTCTTTTCTTGTCTCTGAAGATATTATAGTTTCCTTGAACTATTTTTTTTTTTTTTTTGCGCTCTTATTCACTGTCTCTGTTTCTTCAGAGTTATTTTTTCCTGTTTGGTCATTTTGATTCTCATCTTTCCTGCCACAGGCTGTACTCCAATGCCTGGTGATTGTTGAGTATCCATATTTAAGAGTGAGACATTAAAGAAACTCATTGGAAGCCTGTGTATCAGTGGGGCCTGTTGACTCCCTGATTGTTAGCCTCCCTACAGAGAGATTAAATGAGATCTTGGTATTTCATAGGAGGATTTTCTAAAAGCCATTATCTGTAAGTCTTTTGTCTTGGACCAATGGTTTTCCTGGAGAATAATGTTCCAATCTCCTGACTTGGAGCCACAAATCAGACATCAGAATGTGATGGGAGGAAATGGCGAGGGGCCTCATAATTCAGTATTTAGCTTTCATTATTTCCCATTTTCAGTTCAATACCTTGACTCTCATCCTTTTAACTTCATAGCCTCTCTGGTTCATTTTCCTCATAAGCTAAACCTGTAGTGTTCTGTCTGGGAGGGAAAGAGGAGCCACTTAGCAACCTTGTGATAGAGGACATCTGGAGGTAGGCTTCTAATTGCTCCCAATACAGAATTTCGGCAAAATTTTCCTCTTTTCAGGCCCAAATTTAACATCTTCCTTAGAAGTATCTGGGCTTTAATTTCTGAACATCTCCAGACTTCTGGCATATGAAGTGACTTGTTTTTAGTGAATTTCTGTGCTTAGCTAAGCTAGTTACTACTCATTCATCCTTTTTTTTAGCTTCCAGATTTTGTTAACATCTTATTAAGCATTTATTTTTATTTTTTATTATTTTACTGTCATTTTAGTAGATTTTGAGAGGCAGGGTATATAAATGTACATGTTTAGTTTGCCATGTTTAACTACTCAACACCTAGAATGATTTCTAAAATATATATTGTACATCATCAGGTCATGCCACTGTCCTATTTAATTACTCCAATAGTTTTCTACAAGACCCTACATGATTTGACCCCTGTCTACAACTCTGACTTCATGTTGTAACCACTTCTAGAACATTACGCTCAGCTCACAAAAGTTCTTTTTGCTCCAGTCTGGGAGGCTTTCTTCTTCTTATCATTTTCTCTGCCTGGAATGCTCTTCCTTCTGTTGGTGCAAGGTTCTTCATAAGCACACTCACCTCTTCAAAAAGACCTTTGCTACCTATATTTGTCCTTTCTATAACCAACCCAGTTTTATTTCCCTTTTAGCACTTATCATGATCAGTTTATTTATTTGTTCATTTTCTCTCTACCTCAGAATGTAAGATTCAAAGGGCTTGGATTTTGTGTATTTTGATTTCTACTGCAGCTCCAGTTCCAAGCAGAATGCTTTGCTAATAGATGCTCATTAAATATTTGTCCAATGAAATAAGGACTGAACTATAGAAAAAAGATACGTGTGATCTTGTAACCTTGAGGCAAGAACTTGTCTTAGCCACCCTCCATCAGCAAGAGCGTAGTTGAGAGTGTGACATCTGGTAGCATTTTAATGCTGTCTCTGTGGACTCCCGAGTGCTCTAGGACCCGCCCCTTCATTCAGAAAGACGTCAGAGCCGCCCTATACTCTCTCGCATTTGGTTAGCAGTCCGGACCCTGCTGGGAGGTGGAAAAAGACTACGACTTCCAGAATACACTGCAACTCAGCCGGGCGTGGAGCGGTGCATTCTGGGAGTCCTTCCCTTCCGGGGACCAGAGGAAATGCTTTTTTGAATGTGATGCTGGAAACTGAAGCCTTTCGGAGTTGCAGGTCCTTTCCCCGGTTAACTGCGAATCTCTGGGTGGAGAGAGGACCTGCCTTCGTCTCTCGGGCCAGGAAAGGTAATCGACGCCGCTCACGCTCCTCTGCGGGCAGCCGGTTTCACCTGCGGGACCCGAAGAGGAAGCCCAGCCGGGGGTAGCGTGGCCACGGCCGGGTCGCGGGGCCGGAGGTAGGTCCTGACGGCCCCAGCTGTCATTTCCCAGGCCCGGAGCGTTGACCCAGTCGGTGTCTGAGCTGGTTTCGAGTCCTGGCTCGGGACGCCGGCGCGAACCTGGGCCGACGTGGCCCTTGCCGCCCCGCTCGCCCCTTGCCCACCAGCACTGCCCCCCGCCCTTTCCGCTCCCACCCCGAGTGGCAGGGAGTTCCGCGCCGCCGGGTCCAGCCGAGGCCCGGCCACGGGAAGAGAAACTCGCTGCGTGTGACTTTCTTTCCCCCCCGGGGGGTGGGGTGGGGAGGGGGGTTCTTCTAAAACCAGGAACTGTTTTCACTCGTCTGAAGGGAAATGAGAAAAACAAGGACAGCGTAGGAAGTTCTTATAAAACTAAGTTTATTTAAATGGTGGGAATAGTTTACCTTTCTTTTCCCGTTTCCCTTTAAATAGCTCGCAGCTGAATAATAGTCTGTGGTAGGAAGGTTGTGGCGGTGACTGCTTTTTAAAAAGTGTTTTCTTAACAAAATCACCACTTGTCGGTAGCTAGTACTTTATTAGTCCACAGAACTCAAAAGTGCCTGCTGATTTAGCACAGCTCGTTTTATAAGCCGAATCTCCAAGCGGTGAGATGCTTTCCCTAAAACTATGAAACCAGAGATTGTACTCCAGTTCTCTAGGCTCTGGAATCGGTGCTGTTTTCTACTCTGCTCAATGGGCTTCTGTTCTTCGGGTTGAGAGTACTGACTGGGTTGGCACTGTAGCTAACCATTTCCTGGTGTGGTGACATGTCTGAGCTAGGGTTTACTCCATGGGGAATAATAATGATACTTAAACTAGTTTGAGATATATTGAGCTCATTCACTGTTAGCTGCCATTGTTAAGATGTGTTTCTTTACCCTCCCCATTGTTGACAACTTTAAGTTTCTGTATTCAGATACATCAGTTGATGAGGCTTCCTTGTTGTCTCTTACCTGATTTATCTTCCCTGGACAATTTTATAAATGTTACTTTCTCTCTACCTCAGACCGCACTTTATGAAATAGCTGAAAAATTATTTTAATGTTCATTATTATTATTGCCTTTGTTTTATTAGACTCATTAAATTGAAACACAGGGACAATTTGGTTGAGATTTATTAATAAGTTTGTATATTTGAGGAACAGTAAGTCCATTGAAAATGTCTTCACCTAAGTAGTCCAGTTTGGGGTAAACTTAATTGTTCCAAATCATTTTATAAAATGCATTTTGTTTTCAACTCTTATTCTCTAACTTAAAATAACGTTGTGTTCTTTTCTAGCTGCTGGATGTACCATGCTTTCCTGTGATATTTGTGGTGAAACAGTGACCTCAGAACCGGACATGAAGGCTCATCTCCTAATTGTCCACATGGAAAATGAAGTCATATGTCCATTTTGCAAATTGTCGGGTGTGAATTATGATGAAATGTGTTTTCATATTGAAACTGCTCATTTTGAACAAAATGAATTGGGAAGAAACTTTGAGAGGATCAATACCATACACTGTGGAACTTCAGATAACAGGAAGGACAACACCCAGCAGAGCAGAATGGAAGTTAATCCAAGTATTCATTCACCCTGTGCATCTAATCATCCGAAAATTTCAGCTCAAAGCCTGCCTAAGGATGGTACTTTAGAACATAAAGCCTTTTATTCAGAGAACTTGACTGAATCTAGAAAATTCCTGGAAAGTAAGGAAAAACGACAGTGTGACCTATCCAAAATAAAAGGATCAATTTATGACACAGTGTATAGTCCTCCTGAATGTCCATTCTGTGGAAAAATAGAAGATTGTACTCAAGATATGGAAACTCATGTGAAAACAAATCATGCCAATCTTTTAGACACTCCAGTAGAAGGTAAAGTGTTCATTTCATATAACAACAACTAATGTTAGTTCCAGTTAACATGTGGTGCCCTGAAAGTTGATTTGTAAATCAGATTACTGCAATCAGATTACTACAAGTGTGTTTTAAAAATCAGTCTATATCTATAGCATTGTTTATTTGCAATTGTTGCAATACAATACAATACAAAATGGGAAAGAAGATACATGCAGGTAACAAATGTTTCAGCTACATTGAGAGTCCTTTTATTTACCTTTCTGAAGAGAAAGACATCAACTGAATGGCATCTGGACTGTTTCAGACTCTTGACTTTTTGTTATTGAGTTCTAGTTTGATTTAATTATGATCAGAAAACACTATGATTTCAGTTCTTGCCAGCATTTAGTGTTTGTTTTCCATGTTCCAGATTTTGACCATTCTAATGTGTGTAGTAGTATCTTATTTTAATTTGCAAGTCCCTCATAACATGTGATGAACATCTTTTACTTATTGTTAATCCTCACCTGAGGATATTTTCCCATTGATTTTTAGAGAGAGTTAGAAGGGAGGGGGAGAGACAGAAAGAAACATCTATGTGAGAGAGACACATTGATTGGTTGCCTCCGCACGTGCTCTCTGACTGAGGATCGAGCCTGTACGTGTCCTTGATTGGAATCAAACCCAGGACCCTTAAGTCTGAGGGCCGACGCTGTAGCCACTGAGCCAAACCAGCTAGGGCATGAGTTGTATTTTAATAAACACTGCCTTTATAATTATTCAAAGAGTGTGTATACATTTTTTATGGACACCCTATATATACAGTAGGATATTAGCCATGAAAAGGAAATCCTGCCGTTTGTATCTACCTGAGTGGACCTTGATGGCATTATGCTAAGTGAAATAAGTCAGATATAAAAAAACAAATACTGTACAGTATCACTTATATATGGAATCTAAAAAATAAAACACCAAACTCATAGAAAAAGGTATTCAATTTGTGATTACTAGAGGCAGAGGTGAATGGTGGGGAAATTGGATGTAGGTGGCCAAAGGTACAAAACTTTCAGTTATAAGATATTTAATGAGCTCTGAGGATGTGATATACAATATGATGACTAGAGCTAACACGTCTGTATGGTATATTTAAAAGTTGCTAAAGAGTAAGCGTAAATCCTGAAAGTTCTCATCACCTGGGGAAAAAATTTTTTTTCTCATTTCTATATGATACGGATACTAACTAAACTTATTTTGGTAATCATTTTACAATATGTGTAATTCAAGACATTATGCTGTACACCTTAAACTTATACAGTACAGTAAGTCAGTTATATCTCAAAACTGAAAGAAAAATACTTAATGTTCAACTAGCTTATCTTGGTAGGCTCTGTAGCTTTATTATCATACAGATAATATAATTAAACATTTCCAAGTTCTTTCCTAAACTGAGTATGCGTATGCTGCATCAAATTTTTCCTTTTTGTTTTTAAATTTTCTCTTATGTGCTGGTTAAAAGAAGATGGAAGTAGGAAAAGAGAGTATGCTGGAGCATGTCTGTAAATTTATATCATTTAAAGTGTGGCTTCAAACCCTCACATAGAAGGAACATTCAAACACTTGACATTTCAAGTTGTAGAAATTTTTTGGCAAGAAACCAAACAGTCTTTGACTTGGGGTGAAGATCTAAAAGTTTTCTAAATAAAACCAATTGAATTATGTCTCTAATACAGACTGTGATCAACCATTGTACGACTGCCCTATGTGTGGGCTCACCTGTACAAATTACCATATTCTCCAGGAACATGTTGACTTGCATTTGGAAGAAAGCAGCTTTAGACAAGGTATGTTTATATGTTTAAAAATAAGAATGTCATTATTTAATTTCCACTTCCTAGGACACATATCTAATTTTTAGATTAGTGATATAGAGAGAAAAAAAGCATACTGGTCAAAAATAAGTCTGTCCCTTTAAAGAATTCAAATTTAGTTCCAACTTTTTAAAAGAGGTTGGGGTGGTTTTTTTATTTGTTTTAAATATATTTTTATTGATTTCAGAGAGGAAGGGAGAGGGAGGAGAGAGAGAGAGAGAAACATCAACGATGAGAAAGAATCATTGATTGGCTGCCTCTTGCACACCCCCACACTGGGGCCTGAGCCCGCAACCTGGGCATGTACCCTGACCAGGTATTGAACCGTGACCTCCTCGATCATAGGTCGATGCTCAACCACTGAGCCATGCTGGCTGGGCTAAAAAGGTTTTTTGTTGTTGTGGGTTTTTTTTACAGAAAAATTGTGAAGAATAAACTGTTGTGACCAACTGAGCTAAAGGTGTGCATCCAGGGTTTTGCCTCAGAGTACCAATATTTAGAAGACAGTGAAATATTAGGCAGTTTTCAAAATCAATTTGATTTGTAAGTTGAGGCCATTTTTTCAGCAGCTTAGAAGTAACTGAATTTAACATTTGGTCAGCCAAAATTGTTGGTGAACTAGGATGCTGCCATATAGCACAATTTTTAAAAAGAATGTGAGCTATGTGACTAAAAAGTTTTTCAAGTGCCTTTCTAGCTGCTAGCCCAGCTTTTTACATTACCACTTACTAGTTTTATAAGTGACATGAAAGTTTTCCTCTGTGCCCTATTTTTTTTTAATTTGGTATTATTTAGTAATCACTATGGTGACTTAGAAGTGGAAATATCCTATATGACTTGCACAGTCCTACTGAAACAAAATATAACATAAACCCTAAGAGAAACCAACTGTATTTTAATGAATTTTAGTTTTTTAAGGTACATAGATACCACCTGTTAATGCCGTGGCCTCAGTATCCAGTGTCATTGATCCTAGTACCAGTCAGTTATCTCCATGGACAGACAGCATTACCTGCTCACTCAGACTAATCCCAAGATGAGAATGAGTGTAGAAAAGATGGAACAGTTTTCTACTCTGTTCTTTACTAACTATCGTGGAAGAATAACACACTGGAGCTGAGTATCTGATAATTCTTACTTTGTTTATGAATAGAGTTTGTATTGGTGCATAAATTATTCTTTCAGCCTGTATTGGGTAATGAGAGAAAGATATGGTCTGAGTATATCACTGTAGATAGCCTCAGAAGTACACTAGAAGTCCGTTGTAAATTGCATATCTCCAACAATAGAAGTGGGGATCAAATAGGAAGATGTAGTGGAGGCTTGAGAGATTGGAAAGGAAAGAAAGAATAGTCAAATACATTATTAAACCACCAAATTGGGGGATCAAGAAGATAAGATACTGGCTAGAAGCCAATGGCTAATGGATCTGTGGAATACTGGATAGAGGGGAGACAGGGCAAGATGTTGTACTATAATTAATACCTGTATAATCTAATAACTGTATTTTGCAAACATTTTTATGCTCTTTATTATTTCCTTCCCAGATTTTTTTTAAACCAATCTATTTGATTTGTATTAATAAAGAACACCAATGAATGATGTGGCTAATTTCTCTAAGTTTGGGTTTCTTCAGAAGATAATAATACCTATCTTCCTAAAGTTGTTATAAGGTTCCAAATGAGATGATAAATGGAAAGTCCTTGTCTCAACCTAAACACTCAGTGAATGTTAGTGATTTAAATGGAGGCTATTCTCTTACAAAAGTAGTTTAAGTTCTGCTAACTTTGTACTTTTGCTTTCTGTGACATCATAGGCATGAACAAATGGCAAAATAATAACAATTACTCCTTTTTAAAATATATATATATAAACATGTAATAAATGAGCTTTGATTTCAGTAATTATTTTATTCTAAACACTAAACATATCTGATAGGCATGGATAGAGTCCAATGTTCTAGAGACCTAGAATTGGCTCACCACCTTCAAGAAGAAGAAGACAGAAAGAGATCTGAAGAATCAAGACAAGAAAGGGAAGAATTTCAGAAGCTGCAGGTACATAAATTATAACTATTATATTTTGATATTTTGGTTTGGTAGAATTCTTAATTTTCAGATATGCTGTCAAGACTTCAGCCTATTGCTTTTGTCCTTGTTATTATACTAACTATTTTTTAACATGTATTTTATAGTTCCTAACAGCCACCATTTGTAAGTACTCATTCTGGTCATGTACTAGGGTAAGCACCTCATATCATATCCCAAAATCTTCACAACAACTCAACTCTCTGGAGAAATTATTTTAAACCTTTTTTTTTAGTAGCTTAACTTGCTCAGGATCAGGCAGTATTAAATGAAAAGCTTGGATTCAAACCCATGGTTAAGTTGATGGGGCAAATTAAGAAACGAAGATTCATAATATATGGTGCCATGTGGGTACTTGAAATATCAGAGGGAACACTTTGTAAAGTATACGTTGTCTAACCACTATGCTATACACCTGAAACTAATACAGAATAATATTGAATGTAAGCTGCAATTGAAAAATAAAAGAACAGGTTATATACTTAGGACATAGCAAATCCTTTTATTGTGCATTGTGCATATCATAATTTTCCCAAACTTATATGACCTCTCACTTTTTTCTCAGGCATCTCACACATGGCAATATGGGAGAAAATTTAATTCTCACCTTAGAATATCTGATTTTGGCTATTTTTCTCATTGGTGATTTATTTACTTGCAAAATATTTTCCCACCAGGATTCAGAAGAGAAAAGAAAGTTGGCTTTTCACAACTCTTCTTGCCTTATGTAATTTTGCACATTATAAATACAAAAAGCTTCCAATATTAAAGGGAATTTGTTATTCCCTTTGCAAATTAGTTGTTCAGATCTCAGAAACTTTTTCCAAGAAGGCCTTTTTATACATATTATTTGAGATTCTCTGTTCCCTGTGCAAAAACATAGTTCATTTACTAGGTAGAATGAATGCCTGAATGAATTATGAATTAAGTAGGCCTTTATAGACTAGCTTGGGAACCAAATAACAAGTACTGACAGGTTTCCTTGCAAAAATCATCAGTGTGTTCAGAACTCGTCTGCCTTGTACTTTTAGTAGGAAAACAGGATTCTCTACCACAAGAAAAGCAAGTCTCTTGCCATGATAGTTGTTTATAGAGAAGGCTTTTACTAATTCAGGGATTTTGTATGCGTGTGATTGATTTCTCATAAAAATCTTTAAATTGACTTTTATAAAAGTCTGTAAACCAAAATGTTTCAAAATGCATTTCCAGATAAATGAAATTATGGTAAGTTTCCTTCCTCACCGAGGTAAAGGGACATAAAAATTAAGTTATTTGTTTTATATTCAATAGCGACAATATGGTTTAGATAATTCTGGAGGGTACAAACAGCAGCTACTACGAAGTATGGAGAGAGAAGTAAATAGTGGAAGAATGCATCCATCTGAATTTCACAGAAGAAAAGCTGATATGATGGAATCACTAGCTATTGGTATTGATGATGGGAAAACAAAAACTTCTGGTGAGTTCTTAAACATCAAAATCATGGTTTTAATATTCTGTGTATCACCGAAGTAATCATCAGAATTACTTGAATTTTGCCTAATTTTCATAATCTACAGTTTATATAGGTTTAGGTGAGACTGTGTTCAAACAATTTTTTAAAATGTGTTGTTTTGAAACATCTAAACTTCTGTTCTTAAATAGTTCACCTAAAAATAAATCACTTGTATATTGTGTTAATTTACTTTGTATTTGGAAAGTGAACTTTTTAACTTCGTTAAGGTTATTATGGAATTGTTTGCCAAAGTGGTCAAAATCCACATTTGCATCTGTATTCTCACACTTTGTATGGATGTTGGCACTATATAATTTTGGCCATTAGGGCACGAAATGATGTACTATGTCTTAATTTGCATTTCTTTGTTTATTCCTGAGGTAGTTTCTTCAAGAAATAACCTGTTCCATTCATTTGTCCTTTCTCTGTTGGATTGTTTTTCTTTTTCTTACTAATTTGTGCAAGTCCTTTAAGTACATCAGGATTCTAATTCTTTGTTGATTTTATGAGGTATAAATATCTTCAAGTCTATAATTTTGCCTTTAAATTTCATATGTGGTATGTTTATTTTTTAAATTTTATTTTCAATTACAGTTTATACTCAATGTTATTTTGTATTAGTTTTAGGTTTACAGCATAGTGGTTAGACAATCATACTTTACAAAGTGGTCTCCCAAATATTTGAAGTATCTACCTATTATAATATTATTGACTACTAGTATATTTCCTATGATGTACTTTACATCCCCATGACTGTTTTATACTACCAATTTGTACTTCTCAATCCCTTCAACTTCTTCACTGAGTCCAACCCTGCTTCCCTCTGACTATCATTAGTCTGTTCTCTGTATCCATAGTCTGTGTCAATTTTGTTCAATTATTTTGCTCTTTAGATTCCACATACAAGTGAAATCATCTGGTATTTATCTTTCTCTGACTGACTTATTTCACTTAGCATAATACCCTCCAGGCCCATTCATGTTATCACAAGTGGTAAGATTTCATTTTTTTTTTTTATGGCTGAGTAATATTCCATTGTATATTTGTACCACAGCTTTTTATCCACTGATCTGTTGATGGGCACTTGGGTTGCTTCCATATCTTACATATATTCTTTCGAATTATTGTAAAAGTGTCATTTTTAAGAAACTCCCCCATCTTTGAGATCATGGTTGTTTTTTTTAATTTATATACTTTATGAAAAATTGCTTTTCATATTTTGACTTTAATCCAGTTGGAATTTATTTGTACATATGGGTATGTGAGAGGGAAAGAGGAGAAGAGAAAGAAAAGGATGGATCAAATATTTTCCCTTTATAACAATACTTTAATTTCTTATTGCTTATTTATCTTAGTACCATTTAATGAATCTGTACTTTCTCCCCTTATACTTCTCTAAGGGTCTTCATGTAAAAAGAAGTATGTGAAGTAGGAGTTCCTAGGAAATGTGTAATATGATTCATTAGGGTATACAGTAGGAAAATATTAAAATGTCTATTTGTTTTTAATTTGTGTCATTCTTTAATTTCTAAGTGTTCATATATTTAAGAGTTACTAAAGAACCACTAATTTATATGTAATTTAAAATAAAAACAAATGTAAAAGATTACAGAGCACAGCCCTAAAATATACTATGTCCTTTTGATAAGCTGTCTTGAAGTTTAGAAGTGATTGATTTAATGGCAAAGCAGGACATGAACTAAGGTTATATCAGTAAAAAGATAAAAAAGATGGAATTGACAAAATTTAAATGTGGCGTTTGAGGGACAGATTGATCTTAGAAATATATTAGGCAGCCATAGGAAAGTAACTAATTCTTCTAAATCTTCTCACTCTCTCTTCTACTTTAGGCATTATTGAAGCACTTTACCGGTATTACCAGAATGCTGCCACAGATGTCAGGCGTGTGTGGCTTTCTGCCGCAGTGGATCACTTTCATTCCTCTTTTGGTGACAAAGGTTGGGGATGTGGTTACAGAAATTTCCAAATGCTACTGTCATCATTATTACAAAATGATACTTACGATGATTGCTTGAAAGGTATGTGAAGTATAGTACTTTGAACTTATCACCTTATATGATATGGGGGAATTAAAGTATAGTGGGCACAGTTAATAGCTTTAATGAAGAAGTATTTTGGATATTTACATTTAGAGAAACTGATACAATAGAAAATATCAAGAATAACTCTTAGAAACTGTGTTGTAGGCTCCTCTAGAATACATGCTGTACATGAAATATGTATAGTAGGGACACTTAATGGCTTTGAGGAAGAAACACTTTAGGATATTTACATTAAAAACCTGAATTCTGGTTGGAGGAAGCAAAACTGGTACAATAACAGATGTCAGCAATATCTCTCTTAGACTCCTCTAGAGTAAATGGTGTACTGCTAAATGATACTATTCAACAATTTTATAACTGCTATGTAACATGTTTGCTTGTATGATTTTAGGTATGTCAGTTCCTTGTATTCCAAAAATTCAGTCTATGATTGAAGATGCATGGAGGGAAGGTTTTGATCCTCAGGGTGCCTCCCAACTTAATGACAGGCTACAGGGAACAAAGGCCTGGATTGGAGCATGTGAAATATATACACTTCTGACCTCCCTAAGGGTAAAGTATGTACCTAAAAAGCCAAGGTGATATTATTGTCACATCTGGGAGGTTTTATGGTTGCTATTTTTTTGTTTGTTTTTCTATCAAAGCAGTAGTTAAAAATTAAAATTTAAGTAGCACTAAAAGGTTTATATGAAATAATAAATTCATTTCCTATCTCATGCTCCTTTCCATTCTCTAGTCTTTATCGGAAGCAGCTGTCATTCCCGTTTTTAAATAATATGCTTTCATGGCTTTTGTTCTTGGTTTATCAGTGTTAGACATTGTCTACTGCATTCCCCTTATATTTCCCACCTGTTCACTCTCAATCCTTCTAACATGGTTAAATCTCAGCTTTTTTGAAGTTAGAGTTTACTTCAGGGCTGTATAAATATTATTATTGCTGATTTTATTTTATTTGGAAATTTTTTGCATCTTTTGTTAGCCCTGATATTATGAAATTTCACCTGGAATGTGGGATTTTGATATATTGTGTGGAGATTTGTTTTTCCTTTCTAATCTGGAATGGTGAATTGTAATATCTCAGTATAGTGTTTAAAAGCTTGGACTTCCGAGTCAGATGCCTGTAATTGCTTCCGGCTTTCCTATCTACCTGCTCTGTGATTTAATTTGTCTGTACCCTTATTTATCTTATTTATAGAGTATTTCTATCCTAGTTCTACCATTGATAAAAGAACATATAAATAGTAACTCCTTCGTAGAGTTATAGTGATAATTAAATGAGATAATAATAAAGTGCTTGGAACTGTGATTGGAATGTAGAAAGAGCTCAGAGGTTAACTGTAAATTTATTGGTCATGTCTTTTTTTTATATATTTGCTTTTTGTTTTACTGTCTAGATTCACTCAACTTTATCTCCCAACTACTCTATTGAAATGTTATTTTAGCAATCGTGTTTTTAATTCTAAGGGGTAAAGTTTCGTAGACTCCTATTCTTTTATGGTTGCAAAATTTTTTTCCAACACTTTGTATCTTTCTGTTCCTTGCACTTTTGTTTCCTCCATGTTAATTTCTTTCCATATCTATTTATTTTAGTCTTTTTCATTTTGAAGGCATTCTACCTTTTGTAAATCCTTAATTGTGTATTCCTAGAGTGAGGAACAAGGCACTAAAAAGCTGATTGGAGGTTTTGTGGGATTGCATGGGGTTTGCAGAGTAACAGACTTCATTTAAGGAGTCTTAGGTGGAAACTTGCTATTTGGTTGGGAAACTCTCAAATATCAGTATAGAGAGAGATCTTTTCTCAGAGGCCATTCAGAGAAGAGTTCTCCACTTTTCTGCTACAGCTCTTGCCTGTGTGTGTGTGTGTGTGTTGGGGGAAGTGAAAAGTGATTTGCCTTCTTTATGCAAACTTCCAATTAATCTCCTATTGTTGTCCCCATTACTACTCTCCCCAATACCTTATGCCTCTAAGCTTTCAGTTTTCCATTTTTCAGAATTGTGTGACCGTTTATCTGTCCCCATTCTTTTTGTCCTTGGGTGTTTAAGTCATTTCCTTCTTCAGTATTTTGTTGTTGGGCTTTCGAGAGGGAACAGAGGTAGATGCCTTTGATCATCTTTAATGGAAAATTTGCCTTAAGCTTCATGACTCCATAGTTTCTTTTTATGTTTGTTCCTAGGTAATTTATCCAGTGTTTTACACTATTTTTACCACATTAGTTGTTATATTTATTGCTAAAAATATTTTAAAAATTTTAAATAACGAATGTGTGTATAACTTACCTGAATGATTTAAATTGAAGGGACTAGTTTTATGTCCTCTAAATTTTTTTTTTCTTTTTGCAATCTGTTCACACATTCATATTATATGTACTTCATCATGTTTGAGCTTTTATAAAAATTTTAAGGAAAGAAAATTTCCATCTAAAATACCTGATGTATCCAGCTTTTTCTTGGTACCTGAAATAGTTTAGTCTTCCTTCGAATAAAGCCTTTTTATTAATGAACCTGAATTTATTTGCTAGTTTTTTAAACGTCTTCCTTTTGCACTCCATGAATTATACTCTGTTGAGTACTATTTACATTCTTAAATACAAACATGCAGTCAACTGCTAACCCAAAAGTCGTTTCTACTTTTTAACAACTATCCAAAACTTGATTTCAACCTTTAAAACTCAGTGCTAATCAATTTGAAAGTTACCAACATTAAACTTACTGAAGTTAAAATGACAACCATTACAGTTGGAGATTTTATTGCCAACAGACACAAGGACAGGATATCTATGCTATACTTTAAAGTGAAAATAAAGTATTTAAAGTGCTTTTGTTTATACCTGACCTTTTTAAAACAGTTGTTGAAAAGTATACACACTGGTTAAAATAATTTTGTTTATTCAAGGTTGACTTCCTCTTGAGGAAACAATACCACAACCGGTGTCTGGTACCAAATAGGAGATCGATAGATAGGTAGATGGGGTACACAGGTTTTTCTGATTTCTACAGGTATTCTTTTCTTATTTATTATTGGAATTTGAGAGAGCTGACAGGAAAAATACTCAGGATATTTTTGATAAATGTGAATGGTTGTCAAGGAATTAAAATTAAAAGTTGGCTTCCAATTGATTATTAGGTTCAGAGGCTTTAGAATAAAAGCTGTGTCTCGGGTTTTATGTAGGTGATTTTTTAAAATCTCATTTATTCATGGAGATTTTGCATATCAGAAAATCTTTTTAACTTTAATTATAAGTCATCAACTTTATTATGAAGTTATTCAAATATTTTCTCATAAAATGAGTTTTTTATATAAATAATAAAATTTGCATTTTTTTCTTCTTAGGAAAATGAAATAGAATTAGTTTTAAACTAAGAATTTTTTTGTCTTATTAACTCCACTGATGAAAATGATTTTTAAAATATTTTCTAAATAATTTATTCTGTCCATTTTTTCTAGGTGCCGTATTGTGGATTTTCACAAGTCAACTGGTCCTTTGGGTACGCACCCTCGCCTGTTTGAATGGATACTGAACTATTATTCTACAGAGAGGGAAGGGGGCCCAAAAGCAGTGTGTACATCTAAACCTCCTATCTATCTGCAACATCAAGGTTAGTGCAACTCAGAAATAATAACTGTAACTTACAAGCATATCTTTATACGACAAAGAGTTAGCTTTTGCTTTAGGACAGGTTAAAAGTCTGATCATGGGGAGTAGGGTGATAGTAGCCTGTCCGATTTTCATAGTTACATTTTCATTTCAGTCTATTCCTGGGTAATGAAAGATGATACCCTTGGTATCTTCAGGGCTGCGTGGTTCACTCTTCCTTTATTGTTTATCCCTTATTTTTTTCAGGTCTTTACCCATGTGTCACTTCAGTGAGGCCTTCCCTGACCACCTTACCTAAGAGTTCATCTCATTATCCCAGCTTCCCACCACTGGCATTTCTTACTCCTTTTCCCTGCTTTATTTTTTTAGATACAGTATAATATATACTTTCCTTATTTATCTTGCTTATAGAGTATTTCTTCCTATTGTGATGTGAGTTCCATGAAGGCAGGAATGTTTGTTTTGCTTGCTCTGTATCACTGATTCCTGGACTAGTGCCCGGCACAGGCGTGTTTGACAAATATTGAATGGGTGATCTGGATTGACAGGAATGAGGAAAAGTAATTGTTAGGAATTTCATCATTTAGGAATACAAGCTGTAAAGCTTAACTTTTGAAATTCTAGTATATAGTATATATTTATTTTTGTTTACCTTTTAGAACCATTAGAGTTTTGTTTTATGGTAGGTAATTTTCAAATCCTTTCATTTGAGATCTTTGAATAGGAAGTATCAAGGGATTGGGAAAGAAAAACTAAAATGTGTGACTCAGTAGAAAAATGTTTGTAATGAAGCCTTTAGAAAACTAAAATTGAACAAAGGAAAACTGAAAAGTTAGGAAGTAGAACTGAATGCTTGTGTCTTAGGAATGAGAGAGGTCAGATAACTATGTCAGAGGGACTAACTATATTTATTTTCTAAACATTCATTTGCACACACTCCGTATACGCAGAGAGAGTATTCAGTGTGTGTGTGTACATATTTATATCTGTATGTATGGCTGTAGGTAAATCATATATAGCTGTTACTTTATTTTTTGATAGGTCATAGTCGAACAGTTGTTGGAATTGAAGAGAGAAAAAACCAAACGTTGTGTTTACTAGTATTTGATCCTGGATGTCCTTCTCGAGAAATGCAGAAACTATTAAAGCAAGACATGGAGGCTAACAGTCTCAAGCAACTTCGGAAATTTGTGGGAAATTTAAAGCATAAACAGTACCAGATAGTGGCAGTAGAGGGCGTTCTTACTGCAGAGGAGAAAATTGTAAGTCTTTATCTGGAATTTTATTTAATTTTTTTATGGCTTGAATTTTAAAATGTTTATTTCTCATTTCTTAAATTCAAAATTGTAATTTTACTTAAGAAATTTTCATTATCTTGAAATTATTTTTAGATTTTTTAAAATATTAGAATAATATGTATTCTGACTAATTGATTTCTGCTTACAACTAACAATTTTTTAAAAAATTTTGTTTCAAGGCCAGGAGACAAGCATCTCAAGTGTTTACAGCTGAGAAGATTCCTTGAAGAATTAAGCATTTCAGTGAGTGTGGAACTTCATGTCCCAAATTCAGATATTAAATTCCTTAATGCAACTTATGAACCTGTGAATTCTCTAAATACTCAACTTTTAGTTTCTAAAATGTCTAAATATATCATTAGTGATTCACTGTTTAGAAATTTAGAAAAATACCTTGTTTGCATTGTGGGTTTTGTATTTCTTACCCGTTTCAGAAACTGATTTTGTATTATAGTCATATTTAATATTTATTGGGTTCTTATGTTAGGTATGCTTAGTATTTTCCATGTATTAATTAGTTTAATCTTCAAAATAGTTCTGTGAGACAAGTGTTATTATTAGTGTGTGAGGAAGGTGAAACTGTAAGATTAGTAATTTGCCTGGAAAAATTTTCATAATCCCAGGCTGTCTTACTTTCAAATTCTTACCAATGTTTAGGTGTTGGGCACACAATGTAATATACAGATCATGTATCATAGAAATTACACTTGAAATCTATATCAGATTAATCAATATCACCCCAATAAATTTAATCAATGTCACCCCAATAAATTTAATCAAAAACATTCTGTTTTCTTCTGTTGTAAAACATTTAATGAAATTCCCTCCTTACCTCCTAGAAATAACTTAATATTTAACAACAGATGTCACTCTGAAAAGAGGGATTTGCTTTTGTTCAATATTCACACTCTTACCTATACAACTGAGATTTAGAGTCTAGTGTTCAATGTGTCCTATAGGAGAGAAACTTTCAGACTCATGTTGGCTGTGCTGTGTAAGGTTGCAAAAAAGAATCCTACTCTGGCCAACTGAAGCAGAAAGAAATGCATTGAGAGATGATCAGAGAAGCTCACAGAATCCATAGGTAACTAGGGCACTTTGCTGGAACCAAGGCAACTCCTGTGGTCTGATTCATAGCAAGAGCCAAGGTAGAATGTCTCTGCTCACAATTCAGATTCCCGAGAGGAATCTGATGCCATGATGTATGCCCTGGACAGAGGCAATTTCTCGAAAGGAAATCGGGGTAGATAAGGAAATGGATATTAAACAACAAAAAAGAAAAACAACAACTGTCTGTTATACCATGAAAAATGAACAAGAATGTACTTGAATGAAGTTTTATAAATATTCACTACACCACTGAATACTGAAAATTGCATTCCAAGAATGAATAATATTGCCAATTGGAAAATTCTAGAAATAATCCTTTCTAATATTTTGTCCTTCAGACTAGTGACTAGGTTTCTCCCTCATATCCCCATGCAGTTATCCTTTTTCATGCCATCATTACTTCTTACCTAGATAACCTGCTGACTGGACTCCCTGTCTTGATTCTCTGTCATCCATCTTCTACACAGAAGCCAAATGTTCCTTACAAATATATTTTGTCACTTCCTAGTTGAGTCCTTTTCCCTGTTTATGTATAAAATCCGAACATCCCACACAACCTGGGCCCTGCTTGCCTCTCCAGGCTCATCTCTCACCACTCTCAAAGTTCCACTCCTTTTAGCCCAAAGTCCTTCACCAAAATATAGTTGGTGCACCCAGCAGCCCCTAACCCCAAGGCCGCAGAGGCGCTGGGGCCACTGGGGCTGCAGCAGAGACACAAACCGGCAGGAAACCTGTGGAAAGGGAGATAAACTATCATAACTTTATCTCCCTTTCCACAAGATGAGAAAACTGACCCTGATTATTTAGTGATATGGCCCACACCTTTCTACAAGCACAGGGTATGTTATGATCATTCCTAGGAAGTGATCAGAATACTGGTCAGAATACTGTTTCCAGGGAATAACGCTACTGTGGCAAATTATCTAAGAGAGGAAACAAGCTTTTGTTGGGTTTATTCTGAAGGTCAGAGAACAGACCACCCCAACATATGCCATGTTGTTATATTGACGATCTTGACCTGCAGATGCTTGAAAAACAGCAAATGCAAGGAGAGGTTTTCACTGAAGTCTCCTTCTCTGCCTAAAATCGGACCCCCCAAAAGGTTCCCTTGATGGGAAAAGTGCCATCAGCCAGTGAAGACTGACTCCTGTCACAGGACAGGAGACTAGAAGTTGACATCACATCCAAACTTTGTTACAAACTATCTCCCCCACCCCCATTCAGCTTTCCTAAAAATCATGTACTCTCCTCTAAGAGGCCTCCATATCCCGTCCCCTTTCCCTAGAAAGAAGGCATTTAAATCTGGATTCTAAGCCACTTTGGGAAGTTATTCATTTTTCCCTGGGATCTCCCACATATACACGAGGTACACATGTTAATGAACTTTAGTTTTTCTCTTGGTAATCTGTCTTTCATTACAAGGGCCTCCGCTAAGAACTCAGAAGGGCAGAGGAAAACTATTTTTCCTCCTCCATAATTCTATCTCGGGAAATCAAGTCCTGGGCTGAACAGTGAGTTTGGCTCAAGTGCCAAGCAGTCCCGGCTGAGGGGAGGGAAGCTTCTAGGGGGAAATCAATGATACTGGCATCAAAGTAGGACAGAGGGCACACACATGGTTGCTGGTGGGAGTTTAAAGTGATTCAACATTTTTGGAGGATGATTTGGCAAAATCGATAGAAATGTTCAAGGTACATCCAAGAGTCTTCTAGGAATCTCATCTGCTGAGATAAAGCACGAGTGCTTAAGCCCTGGTCAGAACCCAGGATGCTACTGCGGGCTCTCCTTCCATGATAGGAAAACCTGTTAACAACCTGCATTTTTAGGCAAGGTGGCAT